CCTGGCCCCGCAGTCCTACCCCAACCCCTGCGGATGCTGCCGCCGCGGGAACTTAGCTTTTCACTGAGTCTTCACGTCCCCACGTTACCCCCCAGGATGCGGTGCCACTGGGGCTGGCTGACACCCCCGCCACTGCCACCCTCCACACGCACATGCATGCACACGCACATGCATGCACACGCACATGCACATGCACACACGCACACACACATGCACATACACGCACACTCACACACAAGCCCGCTTCCACTCCCCACATCCTTGTGCTGTGATGGTCCCACCGGGGCACAGTGGTCCTGAGACAGCGAGCTCGCCCCCAGGACCAGTCTCCCTTCCTGGTACAGAAAAGGCCTTCCCAGGACCTACTGGAAATGTCCCCTCTCCTGCTGTGTTTGTGACGTCACCTGAGAAAGTCGTTGTGATGTGAGAATACTGTTCCACGTGTTCTCCATAGCCAAGGGCAGCTTAGCCCCGGGTTCAGAGTTTGAGTGGCTTAGAGGGTGTTTGTAAAATACCTGGAAGATTTCTGCTTAGATAGCAACATTAGTAATCGTTTTTATTTCTTTAATTGTGATCATGAAAATAACATGTCTTTTTGTATATTTTTTTTCAATGATTTTTAGAGAGAGGAAGTGATAGGGATAGAGAGATAGAAACACTGATGAGAAAGAAAGTTCATCAATTGGCTGCTTCCTGCACGCCCCACACTGGGGATGGAGCCCACCACCCAGGCACACCCCCTGAAGGAATTGCACCAGCGACCTCCCGATTCATAGGTGACCGCTCAACCACCGAGCCAACGGCTGGGCAGCAAGCACATGCCTTTTGTAACTAAACTGAATAGAACTATCTACACTGAAAAGTGTAATCTGTCTCTCTACCACCACCACCTCCAAAAAATTCCTACTTCCCAGAGATAACTACTGTTCACAGACTTTTTCACGGTGTGTAGTATATTACCTATGCTACTTATCACACGTTCTCTAAAATTTCGACATTTCAGCGATCATGTGTATGTTCATGAAATCTGTAGGCTGAAGGTTTCTTCCTTGCTACTCTACTAATGTTTGTGTTCTTTGTTTTCTAAAAGATTTCACACAGATCATTCTCCGAATCTGATAAGCCTTCCCCAGAAAGTACAGAGTTACCTGTGGACTGGAGTATTAAAACTCGACTCCTTTTCACCTCTTCTCAACCCTTTACCTGGGCAGATCATTTGAAAGCACAGGAAGAGGCTCAGGGTGTCGTCCAGCATTGCAGAGCAACAGAAGTGACTCTGCCTCAAAGCATACAGGTAATTCTGAAAGAAAAGAGCTATGTTTTAAAGTAACAAATTCAGTGTAAATTTTACTTCTCTGCAAAAATGCCAGATATTTCCTTCCAGTAAGTTTTTCTTTTGACATAAACACTTGGAGATTTTGTATTGCCAAAGTGGTGCTTTTATATAGTTTTCATCAGACTCAGTGACTGCCATTCAATTTAGAGGCCTGTCCTGAGAAATGGTCGGTGTTGCAGGGAGGCATTACTTGAACTAAGCCATTCTTTTCTAAGGCTTTTGAGAAAGAAAATATAAGGAAAATGAATGAAAAGCAATGGAGGAATAGGGTTACAAAGGCAGACTGGTTACTTTACTCATTTTCTCACAAAATGTGCACTCTTTTAAAGGCACTACCTCATGCTACCTGAATGATGGTGTCTTGTCAATTTACTAGAGTTGATGAATTCTAGAATGTTTTCAGAGAAATGCAATAGTATTACTTTGAAGCAGCTCATCAACTTAAACTAGGTTAAAGAGGATTACCTAAAAGAGACCTTGGTACCTCATTTTTAATAAATTGGTAAGGGTGATTTGGGATTCGGGTTACCAGTTTTTACTGGCTACTATTTTTTTTCTTTTTTTTTTCTTTTTTTTTTTTGTTGTTGTTGTTGTTAATCCTCACCTGAGGATATTTTTCCATTGATTTTTATTTTTTTTAAAAGTATATTTTTTTGATTTTTTTCATAGAGGAAGGGAGAGGGATAGAGAGTTAGAAACATCGATGAGAGAGAAACATCAATCAGCTGCCTCCTGCACATCTCCCACTGGGGATGCGCCCGCAACCAAGGTACATGCCCTTGGCCAGAATCGAACCCGGGACCCCTCAGTCCGCAGGCCGACGCTCCATCCACTGAGCCAAACTGGTTAGGGCCCATTGATTTTTAAAGAGAGTAGAGAGGGAGAGACAGAGAAACACTGATGTGAGAGAGACACATTGATTGGTTGACTCCCACACGGGGATCAACCCTGCAACCAAGATTGTGCCCTTGCCCAGAATCAAACCTGGGACCCTTCAGCTCTATCCATTGATCCAAACTGGCTAGGGCACTGGCTACTTTTTAAATAGAGCCCGGGGCGGGGGGGGGGGGGGGGGGGGGGGGGGGGTGCGGTTGCATGTGTTATTACCTACATGCATGCACGCACGCACGCGCACACACACACAGTCCCTGCCCTCCTGATAAAAAAGATAAGTCATTTTTCTCGAGGATGGTAGAGACAGGAGAAGGTTCCCATCTATGTTTAAGTGTTCCTTGTGATGTATGGCTGGATAGACTATAATTGCTGACAAGAAAGGTTCTCCCAAATAAGAATAAACTACATTGTAGCCCCTGTAACAGTTATGAACACTTTACTATAGGAAGCAGTGAAGATAAGGGTTTGGTATATTCAGTGTCTTTTTAATAAAAGTTTCTCTTTCTGTGGCTCAAACCTGTGCGCTGCCTGGACTTCAGGACCCCAAGCTCTGCACTGAGCTGCGCTGTGCTTTCCAGCAGAGCCTTGTCTACTGGCTCCACCCCGCCTTTCCCTGGCTCTCCCTGTTCCCTCGGATGGGAGCCGACCGGAAAATGTCCGCAAAGACAAGCCCTTGGTCGAATGATGAATCCCTACAACGCATTCTAATGAGTGACTGGTAAGATTTGTAAAAACTTGTGTGATCCAATAGTGAATTTTCATTTTAGCGGTATTCTCTTCTTGTTTTATTCATTATGTGGAAATATTTAGTGGTAGAAAGATCGCTCTTCCTCCTGAATGATTTTATTGGAACTGTTAATAACCAACATTTAAATTGTTTACTTGTTAGCTCTTATTCACTCTTTATGCAATTGTGAAATTCATTTAAATGTTTGGTAAATACACATAAACATAATTCTTTAAGATTCTTGTCAGTGACTGCTTCCATTCTCACCAGAAGCTGCACAAAGATAATTACCAACAAGTTACCAATTAAATTTTATTTAAAGAAAACAATGGTTAGTGTCTACATGGTAAACACTGTTTAAATATGTACAAGTTATCAGTGAGTCCCATGACCAGTTTCCGTTCTTTAAAAGCCAAGTTGTATGTAACGGCAAAAATGAAAACCATTATCTGTAATATTTATGTTGTGTTTCAAATCAGGGTGAATAGCAAGCTGAATTATACAATATTATATTTTAGATGTGAAGTTAAATGTTTAATTAACTAAAGAAAATTTGCTTCATAGGTCTGTGAGCTTCACTTCTTTGTATAATCTTCTGAAGACAAAACTTTGCCCCTATTTCTACGTTTGTACCTATCAATTTACTATCCTGTTTCGTGCATCAGGATTAGCAGGAAATGATGTAATCACGGCTCTCATGTCTCCTACAACTAGAGGCATAAGAGAAGCTATGAAAAATGAAGGTAAAATTATAGTTTAAAATAAGAATATCACACTATATAGTAAACTCTTTTCTTGAAAGTTAAAAATACCCTTTGTCAGTTGAATTGTCTTTTATTAGTTTTAGCTATATTATTTTTTAAAACATATTTTTATTGATTTCAGAGAGAGAGAGAGAGAAACATCAATGATGAGAGAATCATTGATCGGCTGCCTCCTACACACCCACCACTGGGAAAACAGGCCATAACCCAAGTATGTGCCCTGACCGGGAATCAAACCGTGACTTCCTGGTTCATAGGTTGACACACTGGCTGGTCTTAACTATATTAAGAAATATTTTATTTCTTTCTGATTCTTTTTATAGCAGTTATTTAAGCTGTTCCTTATACATTGTTTTAAGTTAATGATCTTCCTTTCACGGATCTCTAAACACATACTGGGTTGGAAAGTCCCTGTCTGAATATACACTTCTTCAAATTCCTCATAGTACAAATTACCTACCCCTTTTAACAACAGTTTTCAAACTGGGTCAACCCATGAGTGGACAAAAGATATATTTACTGGGTTTAATCAGCATTTTAAAAAAATGAAATAACGAGTAGTATATACTTTATGAAAGAATACTACATGTAGTAAGAATGTATTGTTTCCTGAACATTTTGTTTCAAGGAGATATGGGTCTGTATTGGTGTGTTATGGGCTGCTAATACAAGGTAATACTAAATGGAAACTAATTGAAAAAGAAAAAATAAAATAAAGTTTGAAAGCTACTGCCTTAATAAATCAAATATAAAGACTCACATTTTCAAATTTCGGACTCTCTAAAAGTAAGGCATACCCGTTAAATTCTTTTAAATTACTAGTATAGTAAAGAAAACTCGCCGAAACCGGTTTGGCTCAGTGGATAGAGCGTCGGCCTGCGGACTGAAGGGTCCCGGGTTCGATTCCGGTCAAGGGCATGTACCCGGGTTGTGGGCACATCCCCAGTGGGAGATGTGCAGGAGGCAGCTGATCGATGTTTCTCTCTCATCGATGTTTCTAACTCTCTATCTCTCTCCCTTCCTCTCTGTAAAAAATCAATAAAAAATATATTTAAAAAAAAAAAACAACTCAGTAATTTTTCTTTTTCTCATGTAGGTATTGAATTTTCTCTGCCTTTAGTAAAAGAAAGTGGCCATGAGAAGAAGAAAGCATCTGGGACAAGCTTGGGACATGGGGAGTATGTGATGAAAATAACCTTTTATGTCATCCAGTGGCTATCGCCTCGGTGCAGTAGTTTTGTAGAGGAAACAGCTTTATGAAATGGGAAATCTAACTATAGCAATTTTTTAGGGAGCAAGCAATCAGTGATGAAGATGAAGAAGAAAGTTTTTCCTGGCTGGAAGAGATGGGTGTGCAAGATAAAATTAAAAAGCCAGACATACTCTCTATCAAGCTGTATCCTTTCATTTGCTGTTAACTAGAATTGTTTTTCATTGAATTAAGTTAGTGAGCAATGGAATATTGACTGGCAGTTTTATTTGACCACAATGTTTTGTTTTAATACGTTTTTATTGATTTTAGAGAGAGAAGAAGTGAAGGGGGAGAGAGAAACGTCGATGAGAGAGAAACATCAACCGGCTGCCTCCTGCACTCCCCCCACTGAAAATCGATGCCCAGACCAGTAATCCAACTGGTGACCTGGTTCATGGGTTGATGCTCAACCACAGAACCACACTAGCCTGCCTGACCATAATCTTAAATTATCTTAAGATCATACTAAAATTAATTCACCATCATGACACTAAATAACAAAACCCTAAGTACCAATAAACTAAGAAGCTATATTTTAAAAAGAGCAAACATTCCATTTTGTTGAAGTTTGTGGGGGGAACAGAATATATTTTTGACTAGCAAAGAAAGTTTTGTTAGGTGTCAATTTCTAGCAAATGCAGGTTAAAGTCAAGTCATTTTGATTTAAACAGGTGCCTTATAACTGCAGTGAAGACATGATAACGAGCATTTCCAGTTTGGAATTGGGAAAGGGGTCCCAGGTGATTCAGAATCAAGATAACTGCTTTTCCCGTTGGCATGGGATTTGTACTTGCAATTTCCTTGATTGTCATCTTCAGGCGTAAGGAGAAACATGAAGTACAAATGGATCACAGACCTGAGTCTGTTGTGTTGGTGAAGGGAACAAACACCTTTACGTTGCTAAATTTTTTGATCAACTGTAAGAGCTTAATTGCTACTTCAGGTCCACAGGCAGGACTTCCACCAACTCTCTTATCCCCGATAGCTTTCCGAGGTGCCACCATGCAAATGCTTAAGGTAATAAGGGGTTGGAGGGTAATCCTACACTAATCTTCATAACATAGCTTCTTTTTAAAAAAAATAACTTTGTTTTTCAGTTAAGGTTGATATACAATATTAGATTAGTTTCAGTTGTACAATATAGTGATTAGGCATTTCTATGACTTAGGGAGTGATCACCACAGTAAGTCTAGTAATCATCTGACACCATACAGTATTATAGTCTTACTGACCGTATCCCCTGTGCTGTACTTTACATCCCAGTGACTTTGTAAGTGGCAAATTGTACATCTTAATCCCTTCCCCTCTTTGACCTGTCTCCCCCCTCCCATCTTACAACCATCAGTTTATTCTGTTTCTGTTTTGTTTTTCTTTGTTTTTTCAAATTCACATAAATTAAATCAGATGGTATTTGTCTTTCTTTATCTCACTTATTTTATTAGCATAACTAGAGGCCCGGTGCACAAAAATTTGTGCACTCAGGGGGTCCCTCAGCCCAGCCTGTGTCCTCTCACAGTCTGGTACCCCTCGGGGGATGTCCACCTGCTGGCTTAGGCCCGCTCCCCAGGGGGAACGGGCCTAAGCTGGCAGTCAGACATCCCTCTGGCAGCCCGGGAGCCCTCAGGGGATGTCCACTTGCCAGTGGGGAGCAGGCCTAAGCTGCAGTCGGACATCCTTAGCGCTGCTGGGGAGGCGGGAGAGGCTCCCACCACCACTGCTGTGCTGGCAGTTGTCAGCCTGGCTTGTGGCTGAGCAGAGCTCCCCCTGTGGGAGCACACTGACCACCAGGGGGCAACTCCTGCATTGAGCGTCTGCCCCCTGGTGGTCAGTGTGTGTCATAGTGACCAGTCATTCTGCTGTTAGGGTCAATTTGCATATTACCCTTTTATTATATAGGATACACTCAAGGTTCACCCATGTTGTCGTAAATGGCAAGATTTCACTTTTTTTTATGGCTAATTCCTTTGTATGTATGTATCACATCTTTCACCATTAGTCTATTGATGGACACTTGGGTTACTTTCATATCTTGGCTATTAATGTTGCGGGCCCTTAAAGAGCAACACCTGGGACTGCAGCAGTGCTAGTCTCATCAGCCAGGTCTGCTGGGTTTCACACCTTGGACTTCTCTACTGGCATTAGAGCCCTGGCCCGGCCCAGCGGGGCCTCGTCCTCAGCGGGGACCTCTGCAGCTGAGGCACCATCCTGGCTTTTATCTGCCAGCCAGTCTCCATGTGGCTGTTTTCGTCCGTCCTTAGTTGTAGGACTTGTTCAGCTAGGTTTCAGGTGGTTCTGAATGATGGGGGTTCTATAGTTTAGTTGTAATTTTGATGTGGTCGTGGGAGGGGGTGGACAATGTTCACCTACCTACTCTGCTATTTTGACTGGAAGTCAGTAACCTAGCTTCTTTAAAAGTACTTTTTCTTTTTTGATAGGATAAATTTTTGACATTTGTTTTATTAGCATTTTTATGTTGCTTTTTTGTTTTTTTCTCCCAGTAAAAAATCATTTAATGTAGTTATACCAAAGGAGTTACATGAAAATATATGAATTATATAAAAAAATTTTCTTACCAAGTATAAAACTGGCAACAAAAATTTTGGTGTTAATCTTTTTTGCCATAAAGAAAAGTTCTCTCATTTCTTTTTCTTTTTTTTTTTTTTTTAAGAGAGAAACATCAATTGATTGCCTTCCGCACGTGGCCCGACTGGGCATCAAAGTCACAACCTGGGTATGTGCCCTGACCAGGAGTTAAATCACCAACTTTTTGTTGTTCTGGACGATGCTCCAACCAACTGAGCCACACTGGCCAGGGCGCTTGTCTCAAAGGCAAGAATATTGAATTATCTCAAAAACTGGATCATGAATAAGTGAAAAGAATAACTGAATAGGTAGACCTCATTGCATTTCACAGATGTTGCGTTTTTTACAAATTGAAAGCAAGACCCTGCACCAGCAAAAAGTTTACAACCCACTTTCATGTGTACGCCCTTTATTGCAGTGGTCTGGAACCAAACCCACAATATCGGCAAGGGGTGCCTGTATATCCATATTGTTGAAAATTATACATATAAACAAATATATACTGAATGTTAGTAGCTGTAGAATCAATTTGTTTTACCAATATCCTGTATTGAAAGTGTATTACTAAATCAGAGTGAATACCATATGAAAAAATTTTATCTACTTAAACTGACAATCTCATAATTTGGAGTAAAGGATACTGGAGACAGAATTTACTAAACATTTTTATTCTTATACACTCCATGTCTTATGAACTACTTTTGTTCCATAACTTAGAGGAAAATCCTAATGAAAAGTTAGTGAACACGTGTTTAGCTAGGGACAAAGGCTTGAGAGATGACCATAATTTTTTTCCCCTTCAATTTTTTGTAAGGCACGAAGTGTAAATGTGAAGACACAGGTTGTTTCTGGATACAAAGATCAATTCAGCTTGGAGATCACAGGTCCTGTCATGCCTCATTCTCTACATGCTATGACCATGCTACTCGGATCTTCACAGAGTGGGTCATTTTCTGCAGGACTGTATACACATGAGCCAACCGCTGTGTTCAACATCTGCCCTCCAGTGGATAAAGTACTGGGAAAGGTGAGTGGAGAGCTGTAAACAGACTTTTAGTTTCCTCACAGTAGGTGAAGGAAGTTATTTATGAGCCAAACTGTTTCAAGTTAACTGTATTTACTAATTTTCAATGATAATTTCTGAGAGTAAGGGATGTGTCTATGTAAGTTGTTATTGTAAGTTTTATGATTTCAAGCTGTTGTACTTAGTGACTTAAATAATATCCCCACCAAAAAAATGGCAACTTAGCATGAGGATTTAACAAATGGCCTTTAATTTTTGACGTTTTTAGGTTTTATTTAGAAGTTACAATTAAAACTATGCAAAAATTCTTTAAGTCAACTTCTGTTGATAATGAATAGTATGAAGGCATTGGTGTCCAAGTTCCCATGGTAACTATTAAAAACTGAGTGTTCAAAAAGGCTGGTGTGCTTTCACTGACTGGTACCAATTCCCACAGGAGACTGTTCGTGAGGAGCTTGCTAACTGTGGGTTGCACCCTAAGACTCTGGACCAACTTAGCCAAACACCAGTACTGGGGAAATCATCCTTACGGAATGTGGAGATGAGTGACTACCTTTATAATTGGAGATCCTGAACGCCAAAGTAAGCCTAAAAGGAATCTTTGAGGAAAAAAGCCTCTGGCAAGGAAATTCAAGATTTTTATACCCTTGGCTTTAAATTTCATTTTGGAAGGGAATATTCAAATGTTTATAAACATTAGCCGTTAATATTTATTACATGCATGTGTTAAGATTTTAGATCAACATTCTCCAGTTTCACTATTTTTTGATAAGATATTCACATATGAAAAACTCAAGTAACTTGAATGAGAACTAGATCCCTATAACTTAATGATAAACTGAATAGAAAATTGAATCAATGTCAGTGCTTCCTTTCAAATGGGAAATTGAGGCTAAATTAGTATCAATGACATCTGGGCAAAACTAACCATTTACCAAGGATTATGAGCAGGTTCTAGCTTGTAAAGTTTGAAACCAAATTTATACAATATCTACTGAGTTGATTGTTGATGCTTCTTAGTTGCTTTCTTTACAATTCTCTCAAATAGATAGATGTATACACACACATATATTTTTAATGCATATGCATGTTAATTCAGGTAAGGGTATTTTGTATTCCATATAGAATAGTGTATTAAGAGTTTAAAGTACGCTCATCCATCATGGCAAAGTAGTATTTAGTGTGTGTGTGTCTAGTTCAAATTTTTTTAAATAAAAGTGCTTAGAAATCATAAGCATTGGGTAAAGAAACAGTAGTATTTAGTGAAGAAGTATGTGATCACTTTATATTCCAGAAAATAAAACACCACATTTATTCCAGAGAAGTTTATATTTTGGGCCTTAAGCTTTTTAAAATAAAGTATAGAGACAGCATATGAATACCACTGTAATACACATGAAATATTCTATTAGACCCTAAAAATTAACATAAACTTAAACTCTCTCAGTCAACAAAATAGTGGCTGGGTGCCAATTTTATTAGATAAGTTGGTTACAGCATTTTAATTATCATTTTACGTCTATCTAGGTGTAGCTGAAATTCAAAATGCACATCAAAGTAAAACTATATCACAACTCAATGCCATACTAAATGTACTTGGCCTCTGCAGTAGAATTCTAGTCGGACTTCATTTTCACTCCCTTCTCATGGCCCAAGTGGCTTTGACGGGAACATAGGACTTAGTGCTGATCATCACACAACATACCACTTCTTTTTATAACTTCTACAAAATTTTAAGGGGAGATGGTGGCTTCAGCCCTGTGGAACAGATCTTGCTTGATTACCTCAATAACACTGGCCCCAGTATCTGTCCAGCAGAATTCATTGTGAACTAGTACAAGGTGCACAGCCCTTCACTGATTACAGGCAAGTGTTACAGCAGCCTAGCCATAAGGAAGGGGAGTTACATCATAGTACAAAATACAGTATAAAAGCGTAATTTAACATTCCACACTGAAGATTACGGATGCCTTCAAACAATCGTTTGGATGTTAGCCACTTAAACAAATACATCACTAAGGTAAACAATATAAACATACCAAAACCCTGTATGGTTAAATACAATTTCCATGGTACAAAAATCAAAGCCGGGAGATGTTTGTACAGATTGCTTTTTACACAATGTTTTAAATTGCCAAATATTTACAACATTAAAGAGGAAATACATTTTGATGCAGAGTAAAATTATCTGAAATGATTAATATAAAACCTCAATCTATCTACGTGAGGCACTCCTGAAGCAAGTGGCATTAGCCATGAGGTCCTTTGGTAAAAGGCCCATTGCTTGAAGAACCACAGTAGCTGCTGTGGCTTTAGCATGCTTCTTATTAGGGCTGGCAAAGCTGGGCTGGTAAGCGCTTCCATTTATCAATACCTATTCAAGAAAAACATACAATTGGGCTGGTAAGGGCTTCCATTTCTCAATACCTATTCAAGAAAAACATACAATAAGAACAGCATCAAACTTTAATATCTATTAGCTTTATTTTTTCACTAAATGCTAGAAAACTAATTTAAAACATAAAACCCATACTATGTAAGTCAAATTAACCTCAACCCAGAAGAAGCAAATCATTTGGGAAAAGAGACAGCAAATTAAAAGCAGGTCTCCAAATTAAAAAAAGCCTGATAGTTCTAATTCCCCATTTCCTACTAGAATATGGCAACAAACAGTTCACAAGACTTTGCCCAAAACTTTCCCTTCCAACATATTTTTAAAGTAAGGTTTTTAAAAGTCATATTAAGAGGCATATTTGTATGTTTAAAAATCCCTCCTCTCTACCTATACATATACACACTCCCAGCCCACCAATAATATATCAATCCTATGATCATATACTTATCCCTCACCCGCTACCATTGTCATCAAATTAATAAATGTATAAAATTAATGCAGAAATTCATATTTACCCTAAAGAGAAAATGCTTGCGATGATCAGGGCCACTATCGTGGATCAAGAGAAATTCAGGTGGTTGCCACCTTCTCTTATTACAGATTTCCATCAAGGCAGACACAGGATGTTTGCCTGCAGAGAAAAAAATAACCAGTTATTAATTATCTCCACCATCTGTGACAACCAATTATGAACTGAAAGTAAGGATGGGTTAGAAGAATCCCCGTGTCCCTCACCTGACAGATCTTTCATTGCAGCAGAGAAGTTCCCAGACCTCTTCTGTGCTCTTTCTCCTACAGCCACAAGACCTTTAAAAAAAAAAAATCAGTGTTAATGAAATAAACTTCAAAGGAAATCTTCAACACATTCCTCTTACCCTTGTTTCTAGATCAATCTGGACTTCTATTTTGCTGTGTTTCAACATATAAATATACCTATTTATACACCCTGGTACTGGAAATTATATAAAATGTTCAGAAAACAAGCATTTAGTATGTGAATACATATAATTAAGTGCCATCATTATCAACAACTCCAGGCCTGTTGCTTTGTAAGTTTAAAAAGTAGTGGCTATTTATTCCAACTGATTTCTAAAGGTTGCCCATTCTTTAAAAGATGATGCTCAGTAAAAGATATGTTCCTCAAAAGATGAGGATTTTAGGTCACACACAAGTAAAAAAGTGAGAAATGCCGTCTAATTGATAAATGGGTTCATTCCACCCCCAACCACGAAGCCCTTTCTGACTTATCTAATGTGAGGTGTTCTCAAAAGACAAACACACAACTGTATAACCTCCCTTTCCCAGGTAGCTTAGCTATGTTACTATGCAAAACCAGTGTTTTCCCAAACCCAACCCACGTACAATTCCAGAGAATGCTCCCTGGAATTACACAATGTATCCAACATGTTTTCTTCCAATAAACCACCTTTTTGTGACAGATCATCTATTCAGCTTGCACAAGCAATAAAATGTCAATGTGACATAACTAGCAAAATGCTCTTTCCTAATTTAAAGCTTGAATTAATGCTACATCACAGGAAGACTGTCATGTTCTATCCATGCTATTTTTGAGTATCATTATTACAATATACTCCCACCAGTTGGAAATAAAATGGCAACATGGTATTCTACATGGATGGCAATGTAGAAAATCTGATGCAAAACAATAAAAAAAATTTAGTTGGAGCTATTCAGTTTCCATGGTCATTAAGAAAGAATAATGTAATTGCATTAATTTCAATGAAATCTCTTTGAATACAAAGATAAGGAAAATACATTTGAGTTTTAAAAATCAGACAAATAAGCTTCAATCATCACACTGAGTTGGCATTCCCATGGATTATACTTAGGTGCCCCAAACTAAGGGCATTATGAAAAAGTAGCACTATTGTAGGCAGCTGATCTGCTATTCCCCAACCCCAAAGAACTGAATTACTGAGCTTGAAAAGAGGGTTTATAAGGCGGAGACTAAACAGCACTTTAATAGGAAATAAAAAGAATATGTGGGATAAAATATCTAAGAAAAAATATTCTAGAAATAAAGATAATATATTCCCTGTCAAAACAAAATGGCTGCTTTATAAATATAAAATCTAGTTAAAATTTTAATCATAGATATATTCAAAGTTCCATAATTTTTAGCAACTAACATTAACACAGGTTCCCTTTTTAAAGCTGAAATTAGTGTTTCCTCCTATAATTATGTAAGTTTTTGGAAATGGCTTAAACCCCCCCCCCCCGCCCCCCCAAAAAACAGCTGTATAAGCAGAAGAGCCTGCAGGTCAGGATCACAGACATCAAAAGAACGTAGACAATGAAAGCTGGGATGTGAAAGGGGGTATAATAAACTTTCCCCAAAACACTTGTTACCTTTTCTGTCAGTCTTAAAATCAACGAGGATAGGCTCCTTATTTCCTTCTTTGTTTTTTCCTAATCCTTCTCCTTCTCTCCAACCCATTTTTCTCATCAAAACGGCTCCCATTCCTCCAGTTACTGGGGCTGCTCTTAAGAACTGATCCTGTCCAAAGAAGAAAGGTAAAATGTCCCAATTTTACAGTTAGAATGTGACCGTCAACTCAGTGTCACTTTTTAAAAAAGAAATCTGATTTTACTTCTAGATCTGTTATAGCTGTTACATTTAAATGCTTCTTATACATACTGTAGTGTGCATGTTCTAATTTTTTCCACATTAACATAATAGTATTTTGAAAGTCACGTAAGGCATATAAATGGCAGTTTTAAAACAGTGGCCCTCGAGCCCCCTCCAAAAAAAAAATTAGAACACTCCTGTTTTCGTCCACTATTTACGTTCACTGGTATCTCTTCTTAGCTTGCAAAATAAAAAGAAGGCAATGTTAAAACAGTCATTAATTGTCCCAGGTGCACCTAGTTAATAAATAAAGCCCAGAAGTCATTTTAGAAATAGTTCGGACACTGAAGAAGCAGACTGTTATCACCCATTTTATTTCCCCATTCTCCCATGGAGCAAGTATAAATATTTTACATAGAAAAATCCTATGAAGCAAAAGAATAACTATAATCAATTTACACAGTAAGAAATGGAAGACAATCACATAAAATAACCTGTTATTATACCAAACTGAATTTGAATTCCTTTAAAACCTAGCTTGATGTTAAAAGACTTTTAAAAAACTCCTTAAACGTTTACATACCTAGGCCTCGGTAGCAGCAGTGTTGTGAATAGTAGGGCTGGCACTGACCGGGGCAAGAAGACAGCTACAAGGATTTGGCCCTGAAACAAGTTTCCATACAGAGGGGTGAAAGTTCACAGGTTATTCTGTGAACAGTCATCTCTCTTGTATCCAACCCACTGAACCATAATTTCCATCAAAGCAGCAAACCACTTAATGTCGTAAGATGCACAAGTACAGACATTAGCATGACCAAGGCAATTATCGTCACACATTCAGAAATACGGGATGCCTCTGAGGCGTCCATGTACATACAACAAACTACTAAATTCTACTGTTGGTCTTTTTTTTTTTTATGTGATATCTCCAAATCATTTTTTATTTCTCCTTGTTATTAAATTTTAAATTTACATTCTCCAGCAAATATATAGATGTCATTAACTTATCAATAAAGGGGGCCA